GCCAGATGTGTGGTGTGTGAACCCCACATAAATGAGGGGAGGAGTGGGAATGTACATATTATTTTTGGTTTGTTTGTCTGTTTAGAAATGGTCTCACTGTATCACCCAGGCTGGAGTGCAGTGGCTGTTCACAGTGAGATCATAGCACACCCCATCCTCAAACTCCCGGGTCATCCTCCCACCTCAGCCTCCTGAGTAGCTGGGACTGCAGGCATGTGCCACCATGCCCAGCTTCATGTATTTGAGGATGCAGAGGTTCGTGTTGGAAGGGTCACAAGAAACCAGCAACAGTAGTAGCCGAGGGCCAGGGGTTCCGGCTGCCGCCATGTAATGACACACCTCAAAACTTAGTGAATAATGCTGCAATAAACGTGCGAACGCAGATATTTCTTCAACATACTAGATTCATTTCCATGGGATATATACCCAGTGGTGGTTACTGGATTATACAGTAATTTATTTATTTATTTATTTAGTTATTTATTTATTTTGAGACAGAGTCTCACTTTGTTGCCCAGGCTGAAGTGCAGTGGCATGATCTCAGATTTCAGCTCACTGCAAATTCCACTTCCCAGGTCCAAGCAGCTCTTGTGCCTCAGCCTCCCAAATAGCTGGATTACAGATGTTTGCCACCATGCCCTAAAAATACAAAATAAAAAAAATTATTGTATTTTTAGTAGAGACAGGGTTTCACCATGTAGGCCAGGCTAGTCTCAAACTCCTGACCTCAAGTGATCCACCCACCTCGGCCTCCCAAAGTGTTGGGATTACAGGCGTGAGTTGCCACACCCTGCCAGTAATTCTGTTTTTTAAGGGCTTAAAATAACCACCAATGTATTTGCTCACAATCCTGTGGGTGAGGAATTAGGACAGAGCATGAGGGGACAGCTTGTCTCTGCTCCAAGTGTCCACAGTGGCTTCCGTGCTGCATGTGTGGCACCTCAGCTCAGCTGGCCCGAGTGGCAGATGGCCGGCTGGATCATGTGTCTGCTGCCTTAGTTCCTCAGTGCTCCCTCTGGCAGTTTCTTACTCCCCATGTGGCCTCTGCACATGCTGCAAGTTGTCCCTTCAAGTGGCCTCTCCTCCTGGCCTCTCTTGCCTCGTGGCCTTGCCATGTGGTCTCAGAACAGTCTTTCTTTTTTTTTTAAACCTTGCACTTTTTGCAACCAGCACAGACTTCTTATATAGCTGCTAGCCTCCCCCAGAACACAAAAGTGGAAGCTGCTGCTTAAGACTTAAGCCAGCCGGGCGCGGTGGCTCACACCTGTAATCCCAGCATTTTGGGAGGCCAAGGCGGGTGGATCATTTGAGCTCAGGAGTTCATGACCAGACTGGCCAACATGGTGAAACCCCATCTCTACTAAAAATACAAAAATTAGCCAGGCATGGTGGTGCGACTCTGTAATCCCAACTACTCGGAGGGCTGAGGCAGGAGAATCACTTGAGCCCAGGAGGCGGAGGCTGCAGTGAGCCGAGATCATGCCACTGCACTCCAGCCTGGGCAACAGAACAAGACCCTGTCTCAAAAAAGAAAGAAAAAAAAACAGTTCACCATGGGGCTGAGTGTGGGGGCTCACGCCTGTAATCCCAGCACTTTGAGAGGCCAAAGCAGGAGGATCAGTTGAGGCCAGGAGTTCAAGACAAGCCAGTCAACACAGCAAGACCCCCATCTATAAAAAAAAGTCCAAAACTAGCCAGGCATGGTGGTGTGCATCTGCAGTCCCAGATATTTAGGAGATTGAGGCAAGAGGATCTCTTGGGCCCAAGAGGTCAAGGCTGCGGTGAGCCATGATTGTGTCACTGCACTCCAGCCTGGGTGACAGAGCAAGACCCTGTCTCTAAAAAGAAAAAAAAAAAAAATGTTCACCATGGACACGTATTACCTTATGATTGGTTGGGTGCAGAATGTTGCCGGGTCCTGTTTCCACACCTTGGCTGTGCTGTTCCCTTGCCTTTAACACCCTTCCTTTCCATCTCCAGCTGTAGAGATGCCCAGGGAAATGTTCCCTGAATGCCCAAGTCCATTACTCTCCCCTCCTCCAGGCTCTAGCTGGACTTCAGGCCTCTGGGCCTCACTCCATCCACCCTACTGGAGTTTGTGTTGTGCAATCTCCCTCTCCTGGGAACCCCTCTAGGGTCTGCCCAATCTAGGTCATCTCTGCCCCCACACACATACAGTGAAATCATGCAGGCGCTGAGTAGGTGCTCAGTGACTTGAGGGCCCACCCCACCTTCCCCACCCCACCCCCCCTCCACGCCCCACCACAGGCATCACGGGTTGCACTGCCTAGAATGGCCACAAGGTGGCGCGGAAGCCCCGCCTGCGATCTCTGCAACCTCTGTCTGAACTGGGAAACAGCTTCAGGTCGAGGCGCCTGAGGGCCAGAGACCCCCGGGAAGAGGGGGCCTCAAGCCCAGCTTTAAAGAGAAAGCTTACAGGCCGGGAGCGGTGGCTCGCGCTTGTAATCCCAGCAGTTTGGGAGGCCGAGGCGGGCGGATCACCTGAGGTCGGGAGTTCGAGACCAGCCTGACCAATATGGCGAAACCCCATCTCTACTAAAAATACAAAACAGCCGGGCGTGGTGGTGCATGCCTGTGATCCGAGCTACTCGGGAGGCTGAGGCAGGAGAATCACTTGAATCTGGGAGGCGGAGGTTGCGGTGAGCCAAGATCACGCCATTGCACTCCAGCCTGGGCAACAAGAGCGAAACTCAGTCTCAAAAAAAAAAAAAGAGAAAGCTTACTGCCTACTCCCCTCCTCCTCAACTTCAAAATTTACTTCCTCTTCAAGTAAATGGACTCTAATTATAGGCGTGCCAGCACTGATAGCTGCAACAGTAAATCTCCGATCTTGTGTGAGTGAAAGATGCCAGACACCAAGAACCTCCTGCGTGATTCCATCTGTATAGAGCTCTAGAACAGGCAGAACTCACCCATGAGGAAAATATCAGAATGGTGGTTGCCAGTTGCGGGAGAGCACAACTGGGGAGGGGACAAGGGTGCTCATTGGGGCGATGGTACGTGTTTCGTGTGAGTGTCCAAGGCCACCATGATAAGATACCACAAACCCAAAACAACAGAAATTTATTCTCCCTTGAAACCAGGGCCCTGCTCCCTCTGGAGGTTCTGGGGAAGAATCCCTCCTTGCTTCGTCCATGGTGCTTGCCTGCCATTCACCATGTTCCTTGGCTCGAGCTGCATGACCCCAATCTCTGCCTTCATCTTCCAACAGCCTTCTTCCAGTGCCTTCTTCCCTCTGTGTGTGTTCACCTCCAAATCTCCCTCTCCTTTCTCTTATGTAAACACCACTCATTGGATTTAGAGCGCACCCTACTCCAGAATGAGCTCGTCTTAAGTTGGGTTACATCTGCAAGCCCATATTTCCAAATAAGGTCACATTCACAGGTCCCAGGGGTTGGGACTTGAACATATCTTCTTGGGGGATACAATTCAACCCACTGCATGTTTAATATCTTGGAGGGAGTCTGGGCAGTGCAGCTAGATGCATTTGTCAAAAGTAATCAAAAGTGGCCGGGCACGGTGGCTCACACTTGTAATCCCAGCACTTTGGGAGGCCGAGGCGGGTGGATCACTTGAGGTCAGCAGTTCAAGACCAGCCTGGCCAACATGGTGAAACCCCATCTCTACTAAAAATACAAAAATTAGCCAGGCGCAGTGGCAGGCGCCTGTAATCCCAACTGCTCAGGAGGCTGAGGCAGAAGAATCACTTGAACCCAGGAGGCAGAGGTTGCAGTGAGCAGAGATCACACCACTGTACTCTAGTCTTGGTGACAGAGCAAAACTCCATCTCAAAAAAAAAAGTAATCAAAAGTACACCTAAGAATTGTGCAGTTCATCAAATGTAAGCTTTACAGACAGAGAAACAAGTATTCGACTCTAGTTAATGACATGCACACTGACATCTTGAGGGGTATCTGCAGCTTACCCAATTAAATGTTAAAATGGGCGGGTCGTGGTGACACTCACCTGTAATCCCAGCACTTTGGGAGGCCAAAGCAGGTGGATCACTTGAGGTCAGGAGTTCAAGACCAGCCTGGCCAACATGGTGAAACTTTGTCTCTACTAAAAATTAGCTGAATGTGGTAGCGCATGCCTGTAATCCCAGTTACTTGGAGGCCAAGGTGGGAGAATCGCTTGAACCCAGGAGATGGATGTTGCAGTGAGCCGAGATTGTGCCACTGCACTCCAGCCTGGGTGACAGAGTGAAACTCCATCTCAAAAAGAGTAGATAAAAAAAATAAAGATAAAAAATAAAACAGATTAGTGAATAAACAGAGGGAGAGCCCCACCAATGCCACTTTTTTTGAGAATCTATCCTGAAGAGCTCAGCATGAATATAACTCAAGCCTGCTCCTTGCCACACTTTCATTTAGGCTTTTTTTAGGTAAGATCTCTGTAGCCTAGGCTCAAGTACATTGGCACCATCACAGCTCACTGCAGCCTCAACCCCCCAGACTCAGATGCCCTTCCCTCTGCCTCCCAAGTAGCTGGGACCACAGGCACGTGCCACCATGCCAGGCTAATTTTATTTATTTATTTATTTATTTGGAGACAGGGTCAGTCACTGTCACCCAGGCTAGAGTGCAGTGGCACGATCACAGCTCACTGCAACCTCAACCTCCCCAGGCTCAAGCAATCCTCACATCTCAGCCTCCCAAGTAGCTGGGACTACAGGCACCTGTAGTGCCACCACACCCAGCTAATTTTTTTGCATTTTGTAGAGACAGGATTTTGCCATGTTGCCCAGGCTGGTCTCAAACTCCTGGGCTCAAGTGATCCACCTACCTCGGCTTCCCAAAGTGCTGGGATTACAGGCCTGAGCAATCGTGCCCAGCCTAGTCATTTAAACATTTTAATGATGAAAACTATGGAAACCAACTCAGTGCTCAGCATTGCCACCCCCACTGGAGCACCTGGGGACTCAGCGTGAGGCTGTGGGAGGCATCGGGTGCGGGAAGCCTCTGAAATGAAGGGAAAGGTTGAACGTGGTCGAGTTTGCTTTATTACAGGAAGAATTATTCCAGCTTTCATCCAGTTCTCAGGGCCAGGCTGGTGACACCCACAGAGGGGAAGGCCCCTGGTCAGCTGGGTGCTGCGTGCCCACCAGGTGCTGACATGCATACTCAGACCCCTCAAGAGGAAAGGGTGGCCTCTTTAACCAGGAAGCCGGTGCTGGTCCCAGCCCTGCTGCCCAGAACGTGAGCAGCTGGGCCTCTGTTTCCTGGGCACTTATGCTGTGCCAGGCACTGCCCGAGGGGGTCGTTTTTCTTCATATATTTATTCCCTTCTCTTCTGGTATCTGCCATCCACCTCTTCTCACCCCCACTCAAAGGCAGCCATTCTGTCACTTTGTGTCTTTTTGCTGGAATGTGTCCCTGCAAAACACATGTGGCTACTTTGTGCATGAACACTTGTGTTAAGGGTTTTGTGGCTGTGGCTCCTCCACGGTCCTTTCTGTGAGCAGTCCCCAGTCTCAGCCGCCCAGTCCCTGGGGTAGACACCCAAGGGACCCCCAACTTGCCCCACCACAGATAAGGTCAGCTGCCGCCTCCTTGCACCCTCCAGGGCTGGCGTGAGGATGTCTCTGGGACTTTAGCTTGGGAATGGGTTGTAGGGGATGGGGGGACTAATCTGACTAAGTACCAGGTGCTCTACAGAAAGGCTGTCCCCTCTCCACTCACACCAGCTGTGCTCAAGGGTTTTATATCCCATATCTTCCACCACCACTTGGTACTATTCACCCTTTTTTTTCTTTCTTTCTTTCTTTTTTTTTTTTTTTTTTGGAGACAGAGTCTTGCTCTGTCACCCAGGCTGGAGTGCAGTGGTGCAATCTCAGCTCACTGCAACCTCCACCTCCTGGATTCAAGCAATTCTTCTGCCTCAGCCTCCCAAGTAGCTGGGACTACAAGTGCCCACCACTATACCTGGCTAATTTTTGTATTTTTAGTAGAGATGAGGTTTCACCATGTTGGCCAGGCTGGTCTCGAACTCCTGACCTCAGATGATCTACCTGCCTTAGCCTCCCAAAGTGCTGGGATTTCAGGCGTGCACTACCACACCTGGCACTATTTACCTTTTATGTTATTTCTTTTTTTTAATTTTAAAATACTTTCAGACTTAAAGAAAAGTTACAAATACTTCAAATATTTCCCAAATGTTTTCATTTTACTACATTTGATGTATCATATCCTCGTCTCTTTTTCTCTCTCTCCACACACACACACACACACACACACACACACCCCTGCACACACGTGGTTTTTTGTTTGTTTGCTTTTTGAGACAGGGTCTCTCTGTCATCTTTTTAATTAGCGAGGTGTGGTGTTGCACACCTGTAGCCCCAGCTACTCAGGAGACTGAGGTGGGAGGATCGCTTGAATCCAGGAGGTCGAGGCTGCAGTGAGCAGGTATCATGCCACTGTACTCCCTCCTGGGTGACAGAGTGAGACGCCATCTCCAAAGAAAAAACAAAACAAGAAGATGTCTGCAGTTGGGCATGGTGGCTCATGCCTGTAATCCCAGCACTTTGGGAGGCCAAGGCGGGTGGATCATGAGGCCAGGAGTTCAAGACCAGCCTGGCCAACATGGTGAAACCCTGACTCTACTAAAAATACAAAAATTAACTGGGCGTGGTGGTGGGCGCCTGTAATCCCAGCTACTAGGGAGGCTGAGACAGGGGAATCACTTGAACCCAGGAGACAGAGGTTGCAGTGAGCCGAGATCATGCCACTGCACTCCAGCCTGGGCAACACAGCAAGACTCTGTGTCAATAAATAAATAAATAAATAAATAATGTGAACTGTAAATGTGAGTTACATATTTAATTTAAAATTTTCTAGACCAGCCTGTGCAACATAGTGAGACCCCACCTCTATGAAAAAATTTAAAAATTAACTGGACATAGTAGTACCTGCCTGTAGTCTCAGATAGTTGGGAGGCTGAGGCAGGAGGATTGCTTGAGCCCAGGAGTTCAAGGCTCCAGTGAGCCATGACTGCACTCCAGCCTAGGCAACAGAGCAAGACCTTGTCTCTAAAAATAAATATATATATATTTTTTGAGACAGAGTTTTGCGCTTGATGTCCAGGCTGTACTGCAGTGGCACTATCTCGGCTCACCACAACCTCGGTCTCCTGGGCTCAAGTGATTTTCCAGTCTCAGCCTCCCAAGTAGCTGGTATTACAGGCATGCGCCACCACACCTAGCTAATTTTGTATTTTTAGTAGAGATGGGGTTTCTCCATGTTGGCCAGGCTGGTCTCAAACTCCCAACCTCAGGTAATCCATCCGCCTCAGCCTCCCAAAGTGCTGGGATTACAGGTGTGAGCCACCGTGCCCGGCTTCTTTTTTTTTTTTTTTTTTTTTTTTAATTTTTGAGACAGAGTCTCACTCTGTCACCCAGGCTGGAGTGCAGTGGCCCTATCTCAACCTCTGCCTCCCAGGTTCAAGCTATTCTCCTGACTCAGTCTCCTGAGTAGCTGGAATTACAGGCGCCCGCCATCACGTCCGGCTAATTTTTTTTTGTATTTTTAATAGAGACAGTGTTTCACCATGTTGGCCAGGCTGGTCTCAAACTCATGACCCCAGGTGTTCCACCTGCCTCGGCCTCCCAAAGTGCTCGGATTACAAACGTAAGCCACTGCGCCCAGCCAAGGGTTGTAGTTCTTACAGTCATTCTTTATCAGGCATATAAGCATGAGACGCCCCTCTTCATGGTCTTTCTCTATTTGTGAAGGTTTTCATTCTGACAACTGTCACAGATTTTTTTTATTGTGGTAAAATATTTAACAGAATATTTATCATTTTCACCATTAAGTGTAAAATTCAGTGGCATTAAATACATTCACACCAGGCACAGTGGCTCACACCCTCACACCTGTAATCCCAGCACTTTGGGAGGCCAAGGCGGGAGAATTACTTGAGCCCAAGTGTTCAAGACCAGCCTGGGCAACATAGCGATACCCCCATCTCTACCAAAAAAAAAAAAAAAAATACAAGAAAAATCAGCCAGGCGTGGTGGCATGCACCTGTAGTCCCAACTACTCAGGAGGCTGAGGTGGGAGAATCGCCTGAGCACGGGAGGTCGAAGCTGCAGCGAGCTAGGATTGCACCACTGCAGTCCAGCCTGGGCAACAGAGTAAGACCTTGTCACAAAAAAGGAAAAGAAAAGAAAAGAAAAGAAAATTCACAATGCTGTATACTTGTCATCACTCTCTGTATCCAAAACTTTTCTATCATCCCCGACACAAATTCTGTCCTCATTCAACAATTCCCCCCTCTCTCCAGGTAACCTCTATTCTATTTTCCGTCTCTCAGAATCTGCCCATCCCGGGTACCTCATACAACATTGTCCTTGTGTGTCTGACTTCTTTCACTGAGCACAGTGTTTTCCAGGTCCATCGGTGTTGTGGTCTGTGTTGGAATTTTCTTCCTGGGACAAAACAAGGTCTGTCTTGACTCCAGGGCTGCCCGCGATCCCCCACACCCACTTGCCTCTCCCCTCCACAGGCCTCGGCGCTTCTGTCTGTAGGTAGGGGAGGCCTGGGCGGCCTGCTGGGCTGGTCACCTGCCACCTTGCCGTCAGCGCCTTCCCTCGCATTAAGTTCAGCCAGAAAACCGAAACCCCTGAACGCTGCAACAGGGACTCTCCCACAGGGAACGGGTTACAGAGACGACGGTGGAGACAGAGGCCAAACGGGATGGGGAGGACGCTCCGAGAAAGAAATCGCAGCTGCAAAGAGCCACTGCCACATCTAAGCTGGAAGGGCTGGTAGGGTTGCTGTAGCTCAGGGCCTGGGTCACTCCGCAAAGCCAGAGGCACAGGGGCCTGTCCCGGGGCGCTCTCCGACTGGGGCCTCCCGTTGGCCAATAGGAACTCACCGGACGGGAGCCTGGGAATGGCGCCGCAGGGTCTGCTCTGGGGCAGACAGAACAGAGCTGCAGAGGGCGGGGCTTGGATCGGAAAGCAAAGAGCGCCTGCCCCCGCCCGACAGACCCACCCTCCTTCCCTGGTCGGCTCCTACCAGGCAGCCCCCCCCCCTGTGGCTCCAGCCCTGGCTTCTCGGACCCAGCTTCCTTCTGTCCCGCTGGCCTAGGGCGGAGCGCCTCCAGCTGTGGCTAGTGCCTCACCTGGCCTTTCTGCATCTCGGCTCATCCGTCCTCTGTGTAAGCAACGCCTGTATCCCATCCCTTCTGTCTGAAATGCCTCGGTGGTCTCCCTCTTCCAGACTGGCCCCCAGTGAGACGCCAGTGGTGCTGTCGTTTACAGAGTGGCCACAGTGCTACCATGAGACGTTAGTGGATGGCTGAGTCATGAACAAGAAAGGAGGGCAGAAATGAGGTGAGATGGGTCGCCAAGGCAGGGCCACTCCGTGGTAAGTGCAGGATCCCAACGCAGACCCTGAGCTTAACAGAGACGTTGAGTGGTCACAATCAGGCCTCCAGCTCAGCCAATGGTCGGGCTCCATATGGCACTGGGCCACAGAAATCAGCCTCCACTGAGGGTCTCCTGTGTGCCCAGCCGTATTTCCACATCAACCCCATCTCAGTTTGCAGGGCTCGCCATAACACAGGACTACAGACTGTGGTTTAAACAACAGAGATTGTTGTCAACGTGTGAGTGGGGCTGGTTTCTCCCGCAGCCTCTCTCGAGGCTTGTAGATGGCCGCCTTCTTGCTCTGGGCTCACATGGCCCTCCCTCTGTTTGTGTCTGTGTCCAAATTTCCTCTTCCTATGAAGACAACGATTATGTTGGATTAGGGTCCACCCTAATGACCTCATTTTTACTTAATTTCCTCTTTTTTTTTTTTTTTTTTTTTTTTTTTGCCCCCGAAGAGGGAGTTTCACTTTGTGGGCCAGGCTGGAGTGCAGTGGCGCGATCTCGGCTCACTGCAGCCCCTGCCTCCTAGTTTCCAGCAATTCTCCTGCCCCAGCCTCCTGGGTAGCTAGGATTACAGATGTGCACCACCACGCCCGGCTACTTTTTGTATTTTTCATAGAGATGGGGTTTCACCATGTTGGCCAGGCTGGTCTCAAACTCCTGACCTCAAGTAATCTGCCCTCCTCGACCTCCCAAAGTGATGGGATTACAGGTGTGAACCATTGTGCCTAGCCACTTAATTACCCCTTTAAAGGCCTTATTTCCAAATACAGTAACATTCGGAGGTACTGGGGATTAGATCTCAACATAATGATTTGGAGGGGTCATCATTCAGCCCATGGCACCCCCCAGTTTCACAAAGTGGGCATTATCGGCCCCGTTTTCCAAATGAGGAAACTGAGGCCCAGACAGTGGCTTGCTCAAGGCCACCCAGAGTTGGGTCTCCTCAAATCCAGGGCTCCCCATTCCCCACACCATGAGCGGGGCTGCCGCTCCACCTGCCAGCCCAGGGAATCTTCTGTCACTCTCTGTGACTGCCGCAGACCCTGGGAAATGGATTCCAATCGCTCCCTTCCTTTCGCTCTGCTGTGTGTAATAAGATGATGACCCACCCTTTATTGGCCCTTTCCTACATGTGAGGCTCTTCTGCTAGCATTTCTTATGCATTCCATATGCACACAGGATCCGGCTCCTCTGGCTCTGCTCAAGCCTCCTCAGAGACACCCTCCCCACGCACCCCACTTGCAACAATGCCTCCATCCACACCAACACGCCTCCTGCTTTATTTTCCTTTGTAGCGTCATCAATACCTGAAATTAGGCTGGGTACGGTGGCTCATGCCTGTAATCCCAGCACTTTGGGAGGCCGAGGTGGGTGAATTACTTGAGGACAGGAGTTCGAGACCAGTCTGGGCAACATGGCAAAATCCCACCTCTACTAAAATACAAAAATTAGCCAACGTGGTGGTGTGTACCTGGAGTCCCAGTTACTTGGCAGGCTGAGGCATGAGAATCGCTGGAACCCAGGAGGTGGAGGCTGCAGTGACCAAGATGGCACCACTGCACTCCAACCTGGGTGACAGAGTGAGACTCTGTCTCAAAAATAAATAAATAAATAAAAATAATACCTGAAATTATGTCATATGCATGCTTATTGGTTTGTTGTGTTCTCTCACTAGACTGTAAGCTCCAGGAGGGCAGGACCCAGGCCTCATCCCCTGCTGTATCCCTGGCACCTAGATGAGACTGTCAATCACTGACATCTTAGGTGCTCAATGTTGTTTCAATAAATTATTAAATAAATTAATGCTTTCACCCAGCCCTCACCAATAATCTGTAACACGGGCCTTAGGATCCTTATTTTATCTTTTTGAGATGGAGTCTTGCTCTGTCGCCCAGGCTGGAGTGCAGTGGCATGATCTCAGCTCACTGCAACCTCTGCCTCCCACGTTCAAGCGATTCTCCTGCCTCAGCCTCCCGAGTAGCTAGGATTACAGGCACACGCCACCACACCCAGCTAATTTTTGTATTCTTAGTAGAGACAGGGTTTCGCCATGTTGAGCAGGCTGATCTCGAACTCTTGACCTCGTGATCTGCCCGCCTTAGTCTCCCAAACTTCTGGAATTACAGGCATGAGCCACTGCACCTGGCCTAGGATCCTTGTTTTACAGAAGAAGAAAGTGAGGCTCAGAGAAAGTCCCAAATCCACCCAGGCTCACCCAGCTAGTAAATAGTGAAGCCAGAATTGGAACCCAGGTCTATGCTTGCAGCCTCCACACTCAGGCCACCTCCTTGCCTTGACCTTCCTTCCAAATCTCTCCCTGCTCTCTGCCTTCCCAAACCACCCTCACACATTTGCCCCGAACCTCTCTTATTCTAGAAATTCCCCAATACTAGCCAAGCTGGGCTGTAGTATCCCTTGGTGCCAGCAGGTGTCACCAGAGAATCCTGAAAGCCATAGTCCGCGGTCTTGCACTCCAGAGCACAGATAAACTCTCATTTACTTAATCACTTTTAAGGATATTTCCACAAAGGAAGGTGCAGCTGCATCCTGGCACCGGTGTTCATGTGCTGTGCGGTGAGAATTTCCCTGGGAATGGATTCCTAGAAATGCAATTGCAAAAGAGCAAAAAAAAAATCTTTAAATTGCATAGATTTAAAGATTTGCTAAGCCTGGTTTACAACTGAGAAATGTGAGACCCAGAGAGGGGACATGGGTGACTCACGGGCACACAGCTAGTTAGTGAAAAGGCCAGATTTAGAACTAGTAGCACTAGCTCCTCTGGGCCAGGCGCGGTGGCTTACACCTGTAATCCCAGCACTTTGGAAGGCCAAGATGGGCAAATCACTTGAGCCTAAGAGTTCGAGACCAGCCTGGTAGAGTGAGAGGTACAGAAAAAAAGTCAGCCAGGCACAGTGGTACACACCTGTAATCCTAGCACTTTTGGAGACCAAGGTGGGCAGATCACTTGAGTCCTAGAGTTTGAGATCAGACTGGGCAACATAGTGAGACCATGTCTCTATAAAAAATACATACATGTAGGGGCCTTTGAAAACAGTATGCTGAGAATAGATAGGGCTCAAGGACCTACTAGCTCATACATATATGTATAATATATATGTATGTATTTATATATTTATTTTATTTTTAATAAAATATATATTTATATATATTTTATTTTATTTTAATAAAATATATATTTATATATTTTATTTATATATTATACATGTTTTTATATATTTTATATATAATGTATATAATATATGATATATATCATATATATGTAATATAATATGGTATATATCATATATGATACATGATATATCATATCATATATGATACATAATTATATATATTATTATATATATAACTGGAACTGCAGATGTGTGCCACCACACCTGGAGAGAGATATATATCTCTCTCTCTCCAGGTGTGGTGGCACACATCTGTAGTTCCAGTTACTCAGGAGGCTGAGGTGGGAGGACTGCTAGAGCCCAGGAGGTCAAGGCTGCAGTGAGCTGTGATCACACCACTGCACTCCAGCCTGGGTGACAGAGTGAGACCCTGTCTCAGAAAAAAAAAACCTATGTTGACTAATAGTACTGGTAGTTCTAGCCAGTCAACATAATACTGATAGTTCTAGCTAGAGCAATTAGGAGTGAAAAAGAAATCAAAGCCATCCAAACTGAAAAGAAGAAGTAAAATAATCTCTGCTCCCCAATGATACAATCTTATATGTAGAAACCCTAAAAATTTCACAAACTAAGAAAAAACTGTTAGAATTAATAAATAAATTCAGCAAAGTGGCAAGATACAAAGTCAGCACACAAAAATCAGTTACTTTTCTCTACACTGACAGTGCGTGATCTGAAACAAAAATTATAAAAACAATTTCATTTACAATAGCATCAAAAAGAAGAAAATCCTTAGGTATTAATCCAAACAGTGAAAAACCTTTACAATGAAAACTACAAAACAGGCCAGGCTTGGTGGCTCCTGCCTATAATCCCAGCACTTTGGGAGGCCAAGGTGGGCGGATAACCTGAGATCGGGAGTTCAAGACCAGCCTGGCCAACAAGATGAAACCCCGCCTCTGCTAAAAATACAAAAAATTAGCCAGGCGTGGTGGCACTCACCTGTAGTCCCAGCTACTGAGGAGGCTGAGGCAGGAGATTCACTTGAACCTGGGAGGCGGAGGTTGCAGTGAACCAAAATCATGCCACTGCACTCCAGCCTGGGTGACAGAGCAAAACTCCATCTCCAAAATAATAATAATAATAATACGTGTTGGTGTAGAGAAATTGGAACCCTTGTGCACTGTTGGAATATAAAATGGAACAGCCAGGCCGGACATGGTGGCTCATGCCTGTAATCCCAAGACTTTGGGAGGCCGAGGCAGGTGGATCACTTGAGGTCAGGAGTTCAAGACCAGCCTGGCCAACATGGTGAAACCTATCTCTACTAAAATGCAAAAATTAGCTGGGCATGGT